TAAGGTTCACTTCTAAAGTTATATGAAGAAGTGTATTTGAGGAATGGTCTGCAATGTATGAGGACTATAAGTATTGTTTGGGATGCTGCCGATCTGAAGTCTGATTACATAGCAGGTAAATTCCAGCACACAGATTCACAGCAGTTTAGGGCTGGAAGAGATCTTGTGAGATCACTGGGTCCAGTCCCCCTGCTCTGTGCAGGAAAGACTGCTGGGGTCAAATAACCCCAGCCACGTGTTAGTCCAGTCTCCTTTGAAGATCCCCAAGGTAGTAATTTATACTTGATCAGTTAAAGCCCCTTTGCTTATCAATTGAAGGATACTTTTGAGGCTTTGTTTTGGGGTTTTTTTTAATAACCGACTTCTTGTTGCCATTAGCAAAAGATCTGGTTCGCACAACAGTTGGTCAGACAAGACTGCTCATAACAGAAAGGTTTAAACAGTTTGAAGGACTGGTAGATAATTGTGAATTCAAACGCGGTGAAAAGGAAACAACATGCACAGATCTGGATGGATTTTGGGATATGGTTAGTTTTCAGGTATGTACTCAATGTTAAGCAAAATACAGAAACACTGCACAACTAATATAATTTTTTTCAGTGTGTTGTGTTCTTTGTGTGGAACTTGCTCTTGGGTTTTAGACCCCAGTATTTTGTATTTCCTGCCTCAGTGTGGTCTGGTTACCAGTTCTTAGCCAGTGTGCTAAGACAGCTATGCAGTGAAGTCCAAACTTCAGTCTGGTACCAGGCTGGAAGCACTATAAGAGACTAGAACAGAGAACAGCGTTTACAACTCATTGGAATCCGGTGGGGAAAGTGAGGGTCATAACAGTTCAGATGTATTTCCTAAAAGGGAATTTATTTTTGTCCTTTGGATTCCCTCAAGAAAGTGGGTGGATCTACGTTCTGTAAACTTGCAGGCATCTTGGAGAAAAAAAATCCCTTGGTTAATGAAGGTAGTTCTGTATCTGGAAGATTGGTGTAAACTAACACTGTGTTGCTGGAGAGGTTGCAAAAAACTTTTTGCCTAGGAGGAAGAATGGGGAAGCTGCAGAGACAAACTTGAAATAATTCTTCCCTCCTTGTTCAGTTCCTGGTGCATACTGAGTGGCAGAAGAAAATTTGTGGAATAAGACAGATAATATTTCTAGGGTCAGTCTACCATGGACAGATCCATCTGGACCTCCACTATTTAAGAGATTAACAAAACACCTGTAACAGCTCTCTGACTTGTCGTTGAATGAGGCTACTGTCTTGCTAGCTTGTGATTGTAGTTTTCTCATGTCCTAAGAAAGGACCAAACAGACTATGAAGGTGTCTGGAAAAGGAGGCAGATATAGCAAACAAGTCTATACTGAAGTGTTTCTGCACAGGGAGTTTTGGTGTTGCCACTTTTGGGTCTATTGTATAATGTGTTCCATAATCCTTAGGAAGAAAACATCTTTGATAGAACAATTTCTAACATTCAATGTTAGTTCAACATGAAGAGTAGGCTGTAAGCTGACTCCTTTAATTATAGGAGCTAAGTTCTTCTGGATGTGATTGTACACTTACCACATGAGGCTTAAATTAGATGTTACAAGTTCCCTTCTGAATAATGCAATCATCTTTTAATCTAATGTTTGAGCGTTAGTGTAACACTTACATGAAATGTATTACCTGGGAGGCTTTGGTACATTTTTCTTCCACTCTGTTGTAGTTCAGTCTGCTTCTATATTTAATGCAAAGCTACCAACATACGCAAGCTGTTCTAAAGATAGTTTGAATAAAACAATCTATCCTTTGTAACGGTGTCATAAATTAGCCCTGTTCCCTTTTTCGTTCAACAGGTAGATGATGTGAATAAAAAATTTGATAACTTACGGAAGCTTCAAGAGAATGGGTGGCAGCCAGTTAACATCCCGAGCAAAGAAGTCATCAAGGTATTTCTAAAAATTTGGTTTAAGATACTAATCGGCAACAACATGAACTGTCTAAGGCCATGAGCAGGCATTGCATTTCTATCAGGAGGAAAGGATTTCTCTTGACAGAAAAAGAGAGCATACCACTGTTCAAAGGCTTTCTTGTGGAAGAAAAATGGGTCTTCTGCAAGGAAGTTCTACATCTTCCAACCAGGTAGATGTCTCCCTTCCTGCCTAAGTTGAATGGCTGTATGCTTCCTCAGTGTTAAGGATACCCAGTGTCCCATACTCCTCGGCTTTCCCTTCCTCTTTCCAAGGGAGCGTTTGTTGGAATTGGGGGGGGTGACATTCTAAGGTGGGAAAAGAGGCCTCACTTCAACCTGTAGGAGTACAGCTGCAGGAGGCAGGTGTGCTCAGGTTTGGAGCTTTCCCAGAGACCTAGAGGATTTCAGATTTGGGAGAAGCTATCCTTGTCCTGGTTCCCAGCTCTTGGGGCTTAAATGCTACCCTTCCTTGCCACTCTCCAACCTTGTTCATGGCTCTACTGCCTTTAAATACTGCATGTGCCACCCAACTGGGTGGCACCCACAGCAATTTAAAAGCTAGGACCTAGGGTCCAGTGATAGGGAGTAGAGGCTACAGTAAGGAAAAGCAGGTCTCCATGCAGGCTGGAGCAGCCAGCTGCAGTGTGTGGAGGCAATCAGTGTGCCAGTAGCCAAATGTGGCAAGGATCAAACAGCTGGGGATTTGTGCACCCATAGTGAAATGCAGGCCAGATCTGTTCCACAAGCTGTGGGTTATAGATTCATAGATGTTAGGGTCGGAAGGGACCTCAACAGATCATCAAGTCTGACCCCCTGCCTAGGCAGGAAAGAGCGCTGGGGTCATATGACCCCAGCCAGATGCCTATCCAGCCTTCTCTTAAGCTGTGGGTTGCAAACACCTTGGTAAAAGTAGCTATCCTTAGAGAAGTGCTACAGCTGGAGTTAAACATTCGATTGGGTATAAATCAATCCAACATCATCTAAAACACCTTGAGAAGCTGGACACCTTCAAGTCAGCCAGCCCTGACAATCTGCACCCCAGGGTACTCAAGGAGCTGGCGAGCATCATAGCCCAGCCTCTGGCACAAATCTTTGAAAACTCCTGGTGCTCTGGTGTAGTGCCCGCAGACTGGAAGAAGGCCAATGTGGTGCCCATCTTCAAGAAAGGGAGGAAAGTGGATCTGGCTAACTATATGCCCATCAGCCTAACTTCTATGCTGGGGAAGATCTTAAAAAGTTTATTAAAGAGGCCATCCATAATGGACTCGCTGATGCCAACATCCTGAGGGTTTGTTGCGGGTAGGTCTTGCTTGACCAATCTCATTTCCTTGTACGACCAGGTGACCTATCACCTGGACAAGGGAGAAGAGATTAATGTTGTATATCTTGACTTCAAAAAAGCCTTTGATCTGGTATCCCATCATCATCACCTCTTGGCGAAAATGGCCAATTGTGGCCTTGGGTCCACCA